CCGACCCTTCGGCGGGGGTGGCGGCGCGCCGAGTCAATGTCCTTGCAAAGCGATGGCGTTGGTGAGGTCGAGGTCGCGCAGGACCAAACCACAAGTGAAGCTTCGCATTGACGTCGGTACATTGCCGCATGGATCGGCGCGCTGCCCTGCGCATGCGAAAGTTTCGGACGTCAGGTTATGGGGGGCGTCGCGCATATCTAAGAGACGGCGCCCGCATATGAACGAGCGGCGCATCGTCGCTATCACCGCGCGGTCACCCCCGAAAGTTTTTGCGTTGCATGTAAGCGCTCGTTCGTGGATTGGGCGGCATTGATCGGATGGGGGCGGTCAGATAAGCGCGGGGAGAGAGGGCCCCCCCGCGCCGCCACGGCGCGGCCCGCGTCGAGTTCCGAGCCCGCTCAGGGTTCGCGTGGCGTCGGGGCTTCGTGCCCCGCGCCGCTCGGATGAAAACGGGCGGATTTGCGCGGCGCCCCCCCACGTCGGATCTCATCCTGGATCCCCCACCCTTTCGGCGCGGATGTCTCGGAACCGACGGCGCGTCTTTCCTGGCGCGGGGGCCGTTTGGCCGAGCGTTTCGGGGGCCCCGCGATTCGCGCAGGCGGGGGCCGATTGCATTGGAGCCCGCCACAATGGCCCGAGCGTTGTAAACGTGCTTTTTCTTACTTGTACAAAAGGTCGTTCCAGGCGCTTGCGCCGCGGTGTTCTTTTTGGCGATGTGGTGACGGTGGGCAACCGCGACAAGGCGCAAGGGGGTTCTGATGAAGGCCTCGATGTGCCCGTGGAGCATCCGGAAGTCCTGTCCAGTGATGCCGTGCGCCTGACCGAAGTTGTCTCTCATTGGCAGTCGCGCCTTATGGAGAAGGTTTGTATAGGGCTAGGGCTGCCTCTAGGACGTCGCCGATGTGGCCCGGTCTCGCGTAGGGCGCCATCGTGGGCCTAGGCTCTCGGGCGAGCAGGAGCATCCAGGTCGGCGCTTTGTTGGCCTAAGCTGTGCTGAGTGGCGCGTTGCCCAGGTCTTGTAGTGCATCCCACAGTGCGCGGGCAAGGCCATCAGGGGGCTGCGCCAGGGCGCGCAGGTGGTTGCAGGTGGGCCGGCCCTGATGACGGTTGCAGTTGCAGGTGGCGCTGCTCCAGGCTGCTGGCGGCTGCCTACAGTGCCCCAAGGGGCACGTGGCCAGACGCCCTCTGTTTCCATCGGCTGCGTGCGTTGGGTCGCCTCGGGATGGGGGTTAGCCAGGCTTCGGGGACGTGCTTCTCTTGACCGCTGCTTGGCCGCGTGCCTGCGAGTTGTAGGGGGCGCGGCCAGGTGGCCGTGCATTCGTAGCTTGCCGGGTCGAGGCCCAGCTCTAAATCGAAAAGATAACCGTCGTGGCCGACCAGCTTTCGGCTGTGCTCCCAGGCCATATAGTCGGGGGTGGAGGCTGTGGGCGTAGTATAGGACTGGGGCCAGCGCTGGGTCCATCAACAGGGCTGTGCCTGTGGTTTGCTGCTCCATGGCCAGCTCAGTCCAGCTGTAATCAGCTGGCAGCTCGCTGTTATACATGGTCTGGAACCACAGGGCATGCTGCTCTTCTATCTTGAGGACCTTCTTTTCTTGGGCACGCCTGTCGTTTTCCGCCTCGATCCGTGCCTGATCCTCTTTGGAGAGGTCTGTGGACTCCGATCCTCTTAGGCCTTGCTGCAGTCGCGCGAGGGAAAAGCCTGGGGTCTCTTGGAGTTCCTGTTTTTTTTTTGCAGGGGCTGTTGTGGAACCGGGTCCATAGGCCGGCCTTGTTCGCCCAGTCCGCCAGTTGGTTCATTTGGGATTTATGTGGCGGTGCTGCATATGTGCCCGTTCGCGAACACCACGATTCCCTCCTGTGCGCGGGCGAAGGCGACGTTGATTCTGCGAGGATCGCCCATGGAGCCCCGTCGGCTCTGGCGGTGCCGAGAATAACTAGGTTGGCCCCGTCAACTTGGCCGTTGTCGACTGTGGCGATGTTGATGGGCCCTTGACGGACAAGCCGGAGGCGCCGAACCTCCGGGCCATGGAAACTCGAGCTGCAGCCGGTGAGTCTGGTCGGTTCCTGTTGGGAAACGGGGCCGCCATATGCCCCCTTGCCTCTCCCAGGTCCCTTCCGAGCTCTAGGGGCGGGGGTCGGCGCAGGGCCGCGCGACGCGGGCGGCGTGTCCTTGCCGCGGGATCCGCTCTTCCTTTTTGTAATGCCCTTGTCCTAGCGGTAGGTATGTTGGGAGGTCGGTGCGTCGATGGGCCAGCTTTTCTGGATGAGAACTTGGCTGGGCCCTGCATCCGAAGAGGACCATAACGCGCTTGTTGTGGTCCAGGAGGTGGCCATCATCGGCTTCAACGATGTCGCGCCGCCGTTGCGGCTTCCCTTGAGTTGGCGATGCCTTCTACTCGATATGACGCCAATTCGGCGGACTTCTCGTAGACCAGGAGCGCGCGAACCCGATCGCCCGCATAGGCGCCGTGGTCCGGGCCACGACAAGCCCCCGCCCCGATGTTGTTTTCCAGTCCCCCGCAGCCGTGGGCCTCCAGGTTGTCGCGCGCAAGCGGTCTGGCATGTCGCCGCGGGAGTCCTTGTACTGCGGGCTTCTGGGTGGAGCAGTTTGCGAGTCCTGAGACGAGTTTACCTTCGTAGAAATTGTGGGATGGCCACTGTAGGATGCCAGGGTGCACGCGGTAGCATCGGTCAAAAAACACGTTGTGCTGAGGGCAGGCCCCCATGGAGTCGTGGAATCGCTTGAGCACCGAGAGGGACATGCCCAATATTGCGGCCATGTCGGAAATGACTTCGGGGTTGAGCTGGTTCCCGTCACCGCATATGATCGCGCGGCCTCGTGGCCAGGGCCTCGGTTAACTGTCCTGGTTCGTCCACAATGCCGAGGAGCAACTTGGGCCCGTCAGGGCCGTCCAGGTCCGCGGCTATCTCGTGCGTGGCCAGGATGAGTTAGCCTTCCTGAACGTACCTCCTCTTTGCCTTGGGAAGGGCTTTCTTCCCTCACTCGCTGATGAAGTCGAAGCCGTAGTCTGTTTTGAAGCGTTCCGCTGGGGAGAGATTGCGGGCTCCTTGGTTCGTTACCTTGTCTGGGTGCGCCAGCCGCACGGCCCAGAGTGGGAAGCCTGCGTCAGGGTTCAGTTTTCCAAGGTGCTGGGCGTCCGTAAGGTACTTGGCTGGCATGTCGGCCCTTTGGTTGAAGGCCGACGGCCCAGCCCGGGGGCGCGCGCGGCAGCCACGGGTCCAGGGCAGCGGCTATGGCTTTGGTCATCCTTGTGCCTGGGGGCCCATGGGCCAGCTGCACTAGGTTGTTGAGGGACTGCTGCAGAACCCTGGTATGAGCATCGTTCAGGTCGTGCCTGGAGGCTGTCGTCATGGCGTCAGCGGGCGGTGAGAAAGGGGGGGTCTCTGGAATACGTTCCCCGGGCATCGCTCGACTTCCTCGTCCGCGGGGGCGGGTACTGCGATTTGCGGTCCTCCCTTGGTGTCGGTGGGGTCTGGGATGGAAATCTCCAGCGTGGTGGCCGCTCGAGAACGCAGTTCTGGCCTCCGCCATGTTGGTTGGAGGTCCTGTTCGTAATCTTCTTGCTCGCCATGTCGGCGGTCCGGAATGCGAACACGTTCGGCGAACAAGTAATGACATAACCAAGCTTTCGCAGGTCCGCGCGGATTTTTTGGATCGGCGTTGGGCCCCCCTCTCCCTGGCGCGCGCAGTACGCCAGGGGGCGGCGCCCAAAGCGCTTCCCAAGGGGTACCAACGCCGATCCCAGAAGTCCGCGTTGACCTTCGAAAGTTTTGTTTATGTCAGGATTTCTTTGCCGTGATGTGGTCGAGAATTCCAGGGGGCTTTTGTTTTAATGGCTTGGCCATTGCGCCCGTTATGCGGTAAGGAATCTTTGGGTAGCATGTCGATCCGCTTGTTTCTGGCCCAGCGCGTTCAGGTGCGACACGCTGTCCGGTGCCAGGCTCCCCAGTGTCAACGTTCCGAGCTTTTCCCGACCTCCCGTCCCGCGGAGCGGAGCGACGCGCTATCTGGTCGCAAGGCATAGCGTGCCGGCGGGGCTGCCGCCGCGACACGCTATTCAAAACTTCAGAGTTTTTCCCCCACCCCCCTCCGCCCCCCCCCACCCCCTCCCATAACGTGGCGCCCTCCCTCCCCCACGCAGTGCGCTTCCAGCACCGCCGTTGGAACGGGGTGGGGCCATCGCGGGAACTCGCCGGAACGCGCCCGCGTGACGCTGTGCCTTTCCACAGGCAGGGGGTCGTGTGGCCAGCCAGGTCGGGAACGGGCCGGTTGGACCCGCTGTGATGCGCGCCGTTGAAATTTCTGCGATTTTCGAACGTGGTATGCGCCCCCCCCCCCCCCCACTGCTTCTGCTGCTCTCGCTGCTGCTGCTCCTCCTCGTCATCTGTCTCCTCCGTGACCTTCCTTCTCTTCTCGCTCTCCTTCTCCTGCGCTGATCCTCCGCGTCCTCCTACCAGTCGTCCTCATCACATGCTCTCGCCATCAAGCGGACACGGGCTGCCCGAGACCAGCAGCCGATCTCACCTAGCAGTGCCGAGTCTGATCTGAGTTTGTCGGGTGCCGTCCCTGGCGCCTCAGAGGCTTCGTGTTCCATGTTCATGCGCATGCCCATACTTCCAGTTGTCATCTCGGTCCCGCGATGTGCCCGGGCTTGTGAGTGGGCCTGGACGGGGAGCGACGAAGAGAAGGTTGGGAGTTTGTGAGAATATTGAGGAGATGGATGAGGGATGATGCTGTGGAGGAGTGCACGAGGATGCTTTTGAGCAGGTGGGACAGCGACAGAAGATGACAGGTGGGTAATGGCAGGACCAGTCATGAGGTGGAATTCTTTCTTTTCGATTTGCTTGCGTGGGAGGAGGATAACGACCAGGAGGAGGGGACGGGGGGGTGGGAGAGTCAAAGCATGCAGGGGCGAACGCTCAACAGGATAAGAGGAGAAGATGCCTCGCATAATTCGCTCCAGAGTGATTGGCCAGGTACGTCGACCTCGATCGCGGCGACTCGCAGTGGAGCATATTGATCCGCACTCTGGAGGCTCACTGCGCTTGGTACGTGACCGCCATCATCACCGTCACTATCGCTATCACCACCACCACCACCGCTGCCGACATCACCATCACCACAGCCATCACCACCTCGACTGAAACCGACCCACCGTCGACGTCGCCATTGCCACCACCACCACCACCAAGTGTCGGATACAGGGCGGCTCGATTAGCCCAACGTGTGTGTTATTCCATTCAGCTCCTCCAGCAGCAGGCAGCCTGCATCGGCTCTTACACAATCTGCGTCGTAGAAGGGCTTTGGTGGACAAGCACACGTTGGCGTTGACACACGTTCTGCGGATCATCGAGAGGAGGAGGGGGAGGAGGAGGAAGAATACGACGATTTACGTTACAGCTTCGGGAGGGTTTGTCTGCCTTTGGTTTGAACGCATTGTATCGTCTCCGACGTGGATTCGACGCGGATTCGACAGGGATTGGCGCACTCGACGTGGATTTGACGCAAATCCGACGCCAGCAGCGACGCGATTCGGCAGGCACGATCCCGCGAATATGCAGCAATCGACGGCGGCGGCGACGACGGCACCCAGACGGCCACAGGCGCGCCGGTGCGGCGAGAACGGGTCCACAACCTGGACGGCGGAGGTGAAGGCCGCCCCCTCTGCGGCATCCCTCCTCTCCCACCCACCAAAACAGGCACCCCTTCGAGGGGAGGGGCAATGATCGAGGAGAGGATTAAGAACTAATACATGTTGGAATCATTGTTTGCCTTTTCCTGGCCTCTGGTATCTCCAGGGACCTCCCAGGGCCCATTTCGATCCGATCGATTTGATTCGACATCGACATTGGTCCGCTCATCCGATTCGATTCCGATACGGCGATACGATGCGGCCCGATGTTTGCGTGGCCTTATTGTGCATCCTGGCGCGGCCGATCTGGGTTCGATTCTGACTCCGTGCCGATGCAGCTCGGTCCGATGCCGGATCCCATCCAATCCGATTTCCCCATCCGATTCTGGCTGCTCCTGCCTGCCGGGACCCCCTCCTCTCTGGGGCCGCCTTCTCCCGCCTCGCCTTCCTCTGGCATGGGGCCCGTTTCGCCCCTGAGGTGCCCAGCCTGAGCTGGGCTCGACCGAGGGACTCCGTGTACGGCATCGCTCGGACGTGTTTTTTTGATTCGGCTATTCGGCGAGGACCATCGAGGAGACTTGTGGGTCATCCGGCCGAAAAAAATCACGACACAGAAACATGCACGGGGAATGGACGTTCGAGCGATAAGCAAAATGGAGGAGGGAGGATCCAAGGATGTGCTGGGCGTTTCTGGACGTCGCTCGTCGCCGCTCGTCGCCTGCCCTCTTGGTTCAGGAGGGGAAACAATACACAGACACACATAGACACACCTCCTTCCTATCGGGAAAGTACTGCTCTGACTATTGCGGTCAGGACATCAGCGCACATGAGAGTTTCTTGATATGCGAATCATGCGACGTTGGAATGCGTTCGGAATGTCAAAACAATGCCGCGGCTATGAAAACCGCCATGGACGTGAGTTGACACTCCTCGTACGTGTCTCGCTTGTTCCTCATGCGCTCTCACTTTGGCGCCGTGCTTGTGGGGCTCTACGATGCTGTTCCTTCACACCCTGTGCTGTGCCCTCTCATTGTAGTCGTGTTATACATTTGAGATTCATTTTGGCTCCACCAACTGCCAGGATGCCTCCTGCCCCGCACTGCGTCGTCTTCGCCAAAGCCACTCCGCAATGCAGGCCAGTTTGCTTCATTGTCGCTGATGATCTCGTCTCGTTCAGGCAAACATGCTCAATATTGTTCAGGAAGGCTGCGATCCGCTACACCAAGTTCCGAATACATGATACCTGCTATGGGTACCACATTGCCCATCAGTCAGTGAGGCTGAAGTGGTTCTCAGTCGATTACAAGTCTCAGTTCTCAGACACACGTGTTAAAGCGGGTGGTGCGCTCATTCCTTGGAGTGAAGTTGTTCCCCACTAAAGGCGTTTCGCGTGTGCTTCGCAGTTGGTTCACCTCTTCTTGCAAGTTTTGAATTTCAAGGTGCACATTGGCGTTCTCTATCGCATTGGTTCTTCCCTTAGACCCTGAGCGCGGTTGGCATATCCTGTCACGTTTGGTGACATTCGTCAGACATACGGGTCAATGATTGCCCACTTGGGGGAAAACAACAGACACACATAGTCGTCGATCCCCGGGGAAATACGGAATCATAAGGGAAGTGGGGGGAAGACGAACATCCAAAACGAATAGGAAAACATGGGGAATCCGGGGATTTGTGCTTATTTGTTTGTGTGTCCCTGGGCCCCTTCATTGGTGGTGACCCCCCGCGGCATTGCCTGCCCCCCATGAGTCACCAGAGACTCAGATACAGGTCAGGCCATAGAAGATCGACCCACGAGTGAAATCGCAGGGCGCGCAAGACGCCTCGGTAACAAGCAGGGCCCGCGTAACGCAGCCAGCGAATTCACGTAGATAGCAAGAGCCATCGCTTGAGTTATAGCGCCATTAGGCACCAAGGGCGGTTGCAAGTGACTGCCATGTGTGATTGTTTTGCCAAGTAAGCACGTTTACGCCAGTCACCGGGCCAGGAACCAGTGGCATTTTCAGATACCAGACTTGACAGCGAAAGCGCGCCAAAAGGAAATGGACGATTCCACAAACATTGATAATATTAGCGATGAAGACGGCTGACAATGACTGGTGTGGAATATATTGGCACGCCCAGGGCAGATATAAGTAGATGTGACGAGGTGAACCTTCGCTCGCGGTCGGTAGCGCAGCAAATCAAACACACGCGGTATTAGACAATTCGAAGTGCAGTTCGAGACCACAGGAATCTGGGAAATCATGCATCTCAATGGTTATGACCGAAGGGGTATGGTAAAGAGTGCAGCCACTTGCGACTAGCCGGAAGATCCTCAGTCAGCATTGTCGCGAGGCTCAGATGGTGCCACAATTGGAGCGTCTCGTTGGTCGAAGTAAGAAGTTGAGCCAACATGTTGAGGCAGTAAAGGCGCGGGTTAAAAGAGTGGAGGGTGAACAAGACAATGTCGTTTCAGGCGGGGCAACCCGAGGGCTGGAGCGTAGCGCCACGGTGCATGATATATGTCGAGCACAGTGAGTGTTGCGTTCGTTGGTGAACTCAATGAAGTGAGCGCCGCCGCCGGCGAAACCGTTCCAGGTGACGCCGAAGGGTCAGATGTTGCGCGGTCGATCTCGTTGACACTTGGAGAAGTGCTGACAACCGGGCACTGTGACCTAAGCTGTGAAACCTAACCGACCTTTGCCTGAGCGGCGAGCTAAGCCGCAGCCGTATCAGGCCCTGCTTGGGCCGAAACCCAAGTCGCAACCAGCTCAGACTTCACCTGCGACGCAAGCTACCGCTCAAAGCGCAGAGTCACAACCGAAGAGTGGCAGCCAGGAGCGCAGTAAAAGCGCCTGGCGAGATAGCATTAGCACGAAACCGAAACATGCACGATGAGTGGACGTCCGAGCGCTGTCAAGCCAGTTGTTTTCCCGGGATGCCCAACAAGGGCCCCCAGGCGATTCCGAGAGATTCCAAGAGAGCCCACGAGGGGCCACGAGGCTCCCAGTGACCCCATGATGGCTCCCAAACCCAAAGGGTTGCGAGAGGGCCGAAAAAGGTTAATCAAATAACCCAAGGTAATAGTTGAAGAACTATGAATGCGCTCGATGTGCTGATATTCGATAAGTACCATAGCCCCCAGAACGTTTCGAAGTAGTCTGAGGAGCCCCGCAGGAGCCCCCAGGGGCGCTCCAAGAAACCCCCAACTATCCCGGCAAAGCAACCTAACAGCGATGTGTAGGAGCATATCTGGAAGCATTCCCCTTAAGATTCAGATGAGAATCCAGTTGTAGAATTCTGCTGTTCTCGCAGTCGTAGCCGCATTCGCGCTGACAATCGCAGCGGCAACGGCAGTCGCAGTCACAGCCTCAGCCCAGCTTGCCTCAGCCTCAGCCTCAGCCTGCCTCAGCCTCAGCCTGCCTCAGCCTCAGCCTCAGCCTGCCTCAGTCTCAGCCTCAGCCTGCTTCAGCCTCAGCCTCAGTCTGCCTTCGGCCTCGGCCTCAGCCTCAGGCTGCCTCAGCCTCAGGCTGCCTCAGCCTCAGCCTCAGCCTCAGCCTCAGCCTGCCTCAGCATCAGCATGTCTCAGCCTGAGTCTCAGCCTGCCTCAGCCTCAGCCTCAGCCTGCTTCAGCCTCAGCCTCAGTCTGCCTTCAGCCTCGGCCTCGGCCTCAGGCTGCCTCAGCCTCAGCCTGCCTCAGCCTCAGCATCAGCCTGCCTCAGCATTCAAAATGTGGCCCGGGAGTGGAGTGTGGAAGAGCACGAAGTGGCCATCAGTTGGCTCCGGGCATTCAAAATGTGGCCCGCGAGTGGTGTCCTGGGAAGTCCAAGAGCACGAAGTGGCTTACAGTTGGCTCCGGGCATCCAAAATGTGGCCCGGGAATGCAGTTCTGGGAAGTCGAAGAGCACGAAGTGGCCTACAGTTGGCTCCAGGCATCCAAAATGTGGCCTGGGAGTGGAGTTCTGGGAAGTCGAAGAGCACGAAGTGGCCTACAGCTGGCTCCGGGCATCCAAAATGTGGCCTGGGAATGGAGTTTTGGGAAGTCGAAGAGCACGAAGTGGCCTACAGCTGGCTCCGAGCATTCAAAATGTAGCCCGGGAGTGGAGTTCTGGGAAATCGAAGAGCACGAAGTGGCTTACAGTTGGCTCCGGGCATTCAAAATGTGGCCCGGGAATGGAGTTCTGGGAGCGCCAAGAGCGATTTTTGCGAGGATGTCTAAGGCGATTTGGGTGGCGGCGGCAGAGCGCCGGCAGATCGCCGGATCGCGCCCAGACCCCCTTGGGGAGTCATGATGCTCTCTTTTGACCCTACTAGAAACCTATCAGTCTTCGCTGTTAAGTAATAAACCTTCAAGACGCTGGAGCAGGCAAAGGGGGCGAGGGGGGGAGTCTGACTAGGCGGCGTGATCGCCGAGAGCGTAAGTACGACGGAGCCTGAAAAAATAACGATGCCACCCGTCTTGTTGCACGTTGCTGATGTTTTTTCTTTTGTTTTTTCAATTTGATTTGTTTCTATACGGCCACCCTTCGGGTGATATGGAGACTCGGAGGGGGAAAAGAACCAATTGATGGCTATCTTGGTGGTTGTCATGAGGACCATGCTGGCGATGCGCCCTCGGGTTGGCGACGACGCAAAGGCTTTGAATACCCGCGTACTCCGCTATATGAGGGCGTCTGCCTGTGTCCGACTCGACGAGCCAGTGCATTCACCACGAATCCGATGTGCTTGCAGAGGCCTTCCGGTGTCACCGAGGCGCGGCGGTGCGTTCGTCGAGCCACGCTGCCCCAGCGCCCGTCTGTTCGCAGACTTATCCCTCTTGAGCCCGACCAGCCGGCACGCGCGGTAGAACGCGTCGATCTCCTTAGCGGTGCACGTCTCGCCCAGTATCAGGAACAGCTCGCCAAGCGTGACACGGGGCCCACGGCGCACCCACTCGAATGTGGGCGCGTTCTGACAAGGCGCAATGTACCTGTTACTTGCGCCTCCCAGTCGGGCAAGAAGTCGTCCAGGGAACGCTTCACGCCTGGGTTCGCGTGCTGAACTTCGGTGATCTGAGCCCTGATGTCCTGCGTAGCGACCCGCTGCATGAGCTGGCTGTACTCCGCGACTCACCCCAGCCCAGCAGTCCTCGAGCCGACGGGCCCCTCGCCCTGGCAACACTGCCACTGCGCATTACCCCACTCATGAGCATTGGCAGAGAACGTTGCTTTGAGCACGAGTCCCCACCTTGTGCTCGCCTTGTCCAACTCTACAACTTCGCCGTCGTGCACCGACACCAGTAGCGTCAACAAAGCGGAGCGCTGTTGGTCTGTAGTCAGGGTCTCCACGGATATCTTCTGTTACACAATGTCCAGCAGGATTTGACCTCGCGCAGCATCTGGCGTTTCTCTCGCAGCTCGGGCCGCCTGTCTGGAACGCCGCCGGAAGGAGCCGACTTCAGCGCAGTATTCTCCAGAGACCTGCGGCTTGCTTGCTCCAGGAAGGTCTGCGGCGGCGCGGTCACGGCCGTCGTGCTGGCAGCGCCTGGCACGCACCCTCCGGTGCGGCCGAGGACCATGAGGCCCGTGTCGGGTGCCATGTTCCCACTGTTCTCCGCCTCTCTGTGTTGCGAGTGCACATCGGATCGTATGCACGCAAGCATCGCTAGAGCGCCGACGTCGGCGGGGATGTCTACGGAGCGGACATGCATAACTCCACGCGTCTGCATGGCGCGAGCCTCGGCCGCCGCTTGCGGACTCTCTGTCGTTGCTTGCCTTTGTTGTTGTACGCACCAAGGAACGTCGGCTGCCGGCGCCGCGGACAGCGCGAGACAGCTGGAGGCCATGTCCGCCGACCATTCGCGCTGCACCTCCGTGTCCTCTGCGCAGGGGGCGTCCGCTTCTGCAAGCACATCAGCGGCTGCAGCGCGCCCGCGAACATCTTCGTCACGATCCCCGCTGCGAACAAGCACCGCCTCCGCCTCGCCACCTCCTGGCTAAATTGGCGAGTCAAGTGGCGGCTGCTCGGGCGCGGCCGCAGGCGCCACGGGCATCGGTGGCCTGGCAGAGCCTGGCGCCGATGCCGGTGCTTCCTCGGCGTCTGGGTCAGCATATGCCTCGCAGTGGTGGCCGCATTGTGAGCAGGATGCGGCCACGCCTTGGCAGAGCTGGCAGAGCCTGGCTCCTGCTTCGGGATCGGTGCGCCCAATTCCGCAGCCTGGGGATAAGAGGGCGCACTGTGGAAAGGATGCGGGAACGCCTTGGCAGAGCTGGCAGAGCCTGGCTCCTGCTTCGGGCTCGGGTCGACCTCTTCTGCAGCGCCTCGACCCCGCTTCGGAGGCCCCTGGCATGGCGGCAGCCCATCTTCCACCAATTCGGCGCCCACCTTCGCCAGCGCATCTGCAAAGAAAGCGCGCGCATGCCGTGGTAGCAGCTCCTTGCCACGGACTGCGTGGAGCAGGATCCGCCAGGCCTCTGCGTACATGTCCTGCGGCGGCTCCTTAAAGCACGCCGTGACCGTCCAAGGTGCTGCAGGGCCCTCAGTATGCCTGTTGCGTGTGAGCTCGAACTCCAGCGGTTTGCCCGGATGTCCCTGTACATGAAACCAACACGTTCTTCCCCATGTAGTGGTCACCGACGTTGTTTTGGGACGTTTTGCCACGAACCCCGCTCTGAAGCTTTCGGCGTATTTGAGCCACTTGCAACCGCGAACCACCATACTCGGCACCGCTGGCTGAGCCTGGTGGGGCACCGCTGGTAGACCCTGGCGGCGAGGCAGGACCTGCGAAAGGGCGCGCGCTGCCCGCTGACATGTCGAGCAGGCGGTGGGAGAGATCGTGCGTGAAGCTTGCTTGGGCCACAAGACCAATGCTCGCCATCGCTGGAGCGGCCACGAAAAGGAACCATGGATAGTGGCATCCGCTGTTTTCGTGCTCCTGTCGCTCTGATTATCGAACCCACACGAGATCTCATTACCGATCGAGGTCTCATGATCAATACCACAGCGATTTTCACTACGATCGTCTCGCGACAATCGTACAATCGTCTCGTGACGGTCGATCGATCTCATTACAAATTTCGCATTCGATCTCTATCTCACAATCGATTTCACAATCGATCTCACGGTCGATCTCACAACAGATCGCACAATCGATCTCCCAATCGATCTCACTGTCGAGCTGGCAGTCGACCTCACGATCGATCTCACATTCGGATTCGCGATCGATCTCACAACGGTTCTCGCGATAAGTCTCACAATCGATCTCCCATTTGGTCTCACAATCGATGCCATGATCGATTTCATTGTCGATCCCACCATAGTTCTAACAAGCGGTCTCACCGTCAATCTCACAACAGATCTCAATAACAATCGATCACACAGCGGATCTCAGTATCGATCTCCCGAACGGTCTCACTATCGATCTCGCCGCCCTGCTCCAGGACTCTGACTCGCGCTGCCCTGCTCCAGGACACGGAACACCGACGCGCCACCGACGGAACACCCCCGCCCACCGCGCGCGGCGGGGGGAGGGGCGGACAACCGGCTTCACAGCCCCTAGCCACGGCGGCATCAGTCTTCCCGCGCGCCCACGCAGCTTTGCTTCTCCCGCACGCACGACACGAACACGAAACCGAAACCGATTTCCCGGTGGGGGGCTTTCCGACCCACTGCGATCTCACCCCTAACCTCCGATGGACACCGTCGACGGTTAGGTTGTTGGTAGTCTTTGCCTTGGGGTGTTTGTTTGTTTCGTTTTGCAGGCGCGCGGGGAGGGGGAGGAGGAGACCCTAGCGCGGGCGCACGGGCCAGTAGCGGCCCGAGCATCGGTTCCGACCCGTCGTTCCTCCTCCTTTCTCCTTCCTCTCCC